TGTCAGATCTCAATGCCTGGATTTTAAAGCCACTTTCCTTCTCCACAAGTGCTTTAAAATTCTGGAAACACTTGAACACTTCTGATTTTTCTTTAAGAAAATATACCCATGTTTTTCTACTGTAATCATCAATGAACAAAAGAAAGTATTTGTTCTTACCGAAAGAACATGGGGTGATCGGCCCACAGACATCAGTGTGAACTAGCTGTAGTGGCCTTGTTGCTCTTGATTGAGACTGTTTTGGGAAGCTCTTTCTTGATTGTTTACCAAGAAGACAACCTTCACAAAGTTGATCAGGTTGATTCACCGAGGGCAAGCCTTTCACCATTCTTTTGCTAGCCATAGCCTTAAGTCCTCCAAAGTTCATATGCCCAAATCTCAAATGCCATAGCCATGAAGAATCTTTATAACAAGATGTTAAGCATTTAGCCACATCTGTATGTATGTTCATAGCAAACATACGATTCTTTGACATTGAGACTTTGGCAATCAAGCTTCCTGCAAAATCTTTCAAGTACAAACTGCAACCTTTTGTGAAAACAGCATATCCCTTTTCTAACAGTTGGCCCACACTCAAAATATTACTCTTCATGTCAGGTGCATAATAAACAATTGAGATAAATTGATGATTTCCATCCTTCATGCGTATCAAAATTTTACCTTTACCCCTCACTGGTATTTTGGAGGAGTCTCCAAAGGTGATGTTGCCGCCAACTTTCTCATCAAGCTCCACAAATAATTCTTTGTTTCCACACATGTGGTTGCTTGCTCCAGTATCAAGGTACCAAGAGTGCTTTTCCTCATTCTTCATATCTTTGCAGGCCAACAAGAGAGTTGTCTCCACCTCTTCATTAACTTCTTTATCTTCGTCTTGAGAGAAATTGGCTTTCACATTGTTGCCAAATCTGCATTCCCATGAATAATGCCCAAACTTATGACAAGTGTAGCACTGAATTTGGGATTTGTCATACCTCTTCTGATATGGCCTTGATCCTCCTCTGCCACGGCCTCTCAAAAAGGAGAACTGAAAATTTTCATCTCTGCTTTGATCAGTGTTCTGGACACTTCTTCCTCCTCTTCCACGTCCTCGACCACGACTGCGTCCATGGCCTCGACCTCGACCTCGTCCTCCTTGACTTGTGCCTCCCTTTTGTTCTTTATCACCCAGAGAAAGTCTTGACTGTAGAACTTGCTCCATAGGCTCTTTCTTTCTTCTATTGAGCTTCTCCTCATGTGCTTCAAGTGAACCACTTAACTCTTCAACAGTCATGTCTTCCAAGTCCTTTGATTCTTCAATGGCTGTCACCACATAATCAAACTTCTCTGTAACTGATCTAAGAATTTTTTCAATTATCCTTAAATCAGTCACCTCTTCATCAAGCCTTCTCATCTGGTTGGCAATCCCCATGACCCTTGAAATATAATCTGACACCTTTTCTGTCTCATTCATTTGGACAGCTTCAAATTCACCTCTCAAACTTTGGAGGCGCACTTTCTTTGCCTTTTCTTTTCCTTTACAGGCAGCTTGAAGCTTCTCCCACAAATCCTTTGCTGTGGTGGCATTAGAAACCTTCTCAAAGGTAACCTCATCCAATGCTTGGTGAATGAGAGAAACGGCCTTTTGATCCTTTTTCTTGATGCTATTAAACTGATCCTTTTGTGCTTGTGTAAGAGCACTCATGTCTTTAGGAGCATCATATCCATTCTCAACAATTTCCCACACATCATGTGCACCGAGTATGGCCTTCATTCGGATGCACCAATTGTCAAACTTCTCTTTTGAGAATTTTGGAACCTGCAATGAAACTAGATTCCCACTTGCCATTTCAATAAGAAGCTCTGATACCACTTTGTTGGATATAACTGGACTTATGAGGATTCTGCAGTGGAAGAGAGGAGAGTTTGGAGACTATATTTCTCTGTATTTACTTCATTGAAAATGAGAACTTACAAAGTTATTTATAGATAAATTATAAACACTGGTTCTTCCCTAGTTAACTGGT